GTGCGCATTCAGTTTTCTAACGGTAACTTGAGGAATCGAGATCTGCTCATAATGAGAGAAGGCGAAGAAGGGTAGGGCGAGAGGGGGACGAGGGAAGTAATTGTGCCATTGGCATTTGTACCACACCTCTACCTCCTTGTACACACTAAAATGACTGACCACTCCTGCGGGTTCGTTTTGAGATATTTTATTAATAAAAGTTTTCCTTATTGCACCACTTCTTTCTTGAACTCATTACTACTCAAGCGTTACAGAGCGTTTTCACGTGACGTCATCAAATTCTTAAAGCCAAAACTAAAGAGCCACCAAACTTTTTATCTTCGTCAGTCATAAGATGTACTAAATTTATATCTGTTTACAACTTTCCAGCTCAATAGCGTCTTTGGAAACCAGCGCATTTTGCATTTCAAAGTTATGGCGGTGCGTGACACAAAGCTACGATCACGGCGGGTCTAAAACACAGGCCACGGGTCATTGTGTTACCAATAACCCTAACCCTAACCACAACCCTAACCCCTTCCTAATGCTAACCTTAGGTTTAAATACTGCACTAAGACAATGTTTAGGCTTAAGGTTAGTATTAGTAAAGGTTTAAGGTTTTTTCAGTATTAGTAAAAACAGTAATAGCCAGTGACCCGTGACCTGTGTTTTAGACTCGCCACTACGATCGCGTTTGTCGAAAAATATGTAGTTATCTCGTGATTTTAAGCCGTTTAAGACGTTATAGTATTTGGAAAAGTGCTTATTTAAAGGCTTGTTTGTTCATTGGAGACAATCAGTCTCCTAGATAACCAAAGAAAGTTCCAGATGTTTACACTATTTTCCGGCCGCCATATTGGTGTGCCAAAGAGGAACACCAACATGGCGGCTCCATACTAGGATCTGTAAATTTGCGCGGCACATTTCCACGAATATCTCAACTTTGGGGCAACGCACACTTCTTAAACTTGGAGAAACTGCCTTCTTTATTTATCTTCTATAATATCACAATTTCTTGACTTTATCCACTGGATGGTTTTTGATTTTATTTTTATTGCGTGATAATGAAAACACTCTATTCACCAGTCTAGACGACGTATTTTGTCACGTGCGTTACATTTAATATCACGTCCATGAATCTTGATATTCAATCAGATTCTGACTGGATCCGATGTATAGAGGGTCCGAATGGCTGTCAGTTAAAATTCCTGCCCAGTTTTTAAACTATTAGCAGATTTTCCTGCTATAAGTTCAAACAGCTGACTTTTGAAATTTTGACATCGTTTCTAGCATTTAATCAAGTTCCATCCAGGCCCCGCTCTGCACATCAAAACTCTGAACCCTTTGTAACAATGACGAATCAACTCAGCCCGCAGTTCTCATTTCAATGTTGCTGGGCAACTGACGAAACGATGATGACGTACAACGTTTGGAGCACGCTCGAGTGCTCGAGCTATTCTTTGATTGGATATTGAAAATCGGAGACTTAACGAGTCCTTCGAGGAAGATTTACGAACAACGGTTCTTGTTCCCAAAATGATTTATTGTGTCATACCGAACGCGGAAAAATTTGATATTCAGAAGAGGCACTGTTTGGTAGCCTATGACTACAAGGCTTTTGCCCTCATAAATAACATGAGGAAATTAAATACGTTATATTAAATACAGTTCGTGTTATTCTTACCTTGACATGTTTTACATTGTCACGTAACCGCAAAACGGCAAATTATGAGTGTTGAAATCTTTTTGCAACTTTTTTTTACTCTAAAATCGGTTAAATCTTCAAACGTTTTCAGGCCATTATGCCTATAATAATATGTCAATGTCTATAATAATATTACATGTATTACAAAATTATCCAGGCCCTAATTCTTGTAAAATGTTTTAACGGTTTGCAATTATTCAAAGTGCACAACTTTATAAATCCTTCTGCCCCACTGACACAAATGTTTCCCATTTCTTCGCTCTTCTAGTACAGTGTCACTTCCATAACAACTTTGCACACACAAAGCGACATCGGGCTACCATCATGTACCAATCCCGGTGTTTGCAGCGTCGCTCGCAGTCGTTTTCAATTTAGCACGACCAGTCGGAGTTTATTAAATTTACGACGTCTTCCTCAATCTCACTGATTTACAAGAGATGAGTTGTTTTATTGGGTAGATCTTTGTTTCAGCCTCGGCGTTTTATTCTTTAAATATTGGTGATGTTGAAAATGACACTTCTGCACTCTTGTAATCGTGAAGCTCAAATATTACCAGCTGAAAATCAAAAGAAAAAGTTATCAATTAACATAAAGGCTCAAATTTAGTGAATTATTAAAGAACTAAGAAGTGGTAAATAATCGACAAATTGAATTTAAAATCCCAGCGGGAAAGGGGGGGGGATGTACTCCCAGAAAAATCCAGTGGGTGTGTGCGGCCCGCTTCCCAAAAACCTGACCCTATTTAAGACCAAAATCTGTGATTTTCCCTACCCTATTTATAACCTGATCAAAAATTTGATACCCTATATAAGACCTTACCATTGAATCAACACCCTGTTTCAGACCTGCCTTATAATTAGCTACCTATTTCTGACAGATGTTGAAGGCATTGTGAAGGGCTTTTGTTTATGGTCCTATCGATAATGATGAAAAAGTAGCTTCCAAAAAGAACATACCCGATTTAAGACTAGAGTGTAAAAACCATACCCTATTTGAGACCAAAGTGATCAAAATCAAGAGCCTATTTTTGACTTTGGGGCCGCACATATTTGTATAGCTCCTTACATTTGAAATACACTAAATGTCTTGTGTCAGGTGATAGAAGTCTACCGCAAATTCCCTTCAAATATTTGTTACCATACTTGCCTCATTTTCTCCCTTCTGTAGCCATGGTGCTGGGAGATACAGTGTCCCTTGAGGGCCTTTTGTCCAGTACCTGCCTAGGTTATGTCCATTAATGAAACACACGCCTTTGGTCCAGTTTTCCATGTTCAGAAACGTATCCCGAGGTACATCATTGACTTGAAAGGTTCCCCTGTACAAGTGTGGACCTTGTAGACTCTTACTCCCAGCTGACATATCAGACCATGTTCCTTTTTCTTTGATTCTGCAAAGCAGTCACCAAATATTGATTATGATTGTGTACTACTTACAGGTTTATCAGAGAGGAAATAAGAAGTAGACCTGTTTTCTTCTATTCATTTTTAGAAGTTGCAATTTCTCAAGCACTGAAGCGCCCGTAAGCAAATAAAGTAATTACGTTTGGGTGTCGTGATAGTATATCTCTAGACTCCAGTCAGCTGAATGTGCCAGGAAAAACTAACAGACTTTCCTGTAGGATGGTTTGACTGAATGGACTGACGACATCCTGGCTCGAAAACATTCTCAGGAGTTAAACCTTCGATCTTCCATAACGATTGATTGCGCAATCTTGTCACACCAGACACATTCGAGTGTTGACGACCACTGCTCTGTTCCAGATGTTAGATATAATTGTTTTGCTATACAGTCGTTACCTTGACAGGATGTGTGGTTTGAATTCAAGCGGGTAGATTCGCCATTTGTTGTAACTTTTATCATCAATTTTCACGTCACCACTGATTCCTGAAAGTTGATACAAATGAAAATGTACTGAGAACTTTACAAGGAATAAATTGTCTTTCTCCTATTATAACTTCTCAGTGACTCCAACAGACTACTTTTACTTGTAATCAGAGTTGATCTTTTGTACTTATTTAATCAATGTATCTAAAAGTATGTGGAAATGAGAGAAAGACCCGGTGCATCTAGCACACCTTAGTAGTATATTAAAGCCCTTGATCACAATGGTGTAAGAGCCCTGGAGCTGACCTTTGGAATTTGCATCTTCCCTCCCCTCCCCCCACACTACTACCTCCCAGCATGCTGTTCGGTTGCCCACACAGATTGCACAGCAAGATGACCCAGGTGGGAGTTAAAGACTTAAGGAAACCACGCTTTACGAGGACCATGGATCAGTATCGTAAGTCGCATGCCTGTTAAAAGTTTCCTCCGACACACTAGTCACAATACAAATTACTCAGACAAGCGATTTACAAATAAATACTAATTAACTTGCTGATGTTACCTTTTCGCAGTTTTTTCATGTCCCAGCCAATATTTGTTCGACCCATGTTTTCCACTAAGATCTCCAACTTGTGACTTTTCAACTCAAGTAAATCTTTAATTGTTGGCTGAGTCAGATGCCTACTCACTGTTACACGAACAGAACTTCTGTCTTCCAAACTTGCATCATATGTATGAATCAACATAGAATCTATAATAACCTGTCAAGGAAAAATTCAGTTTTCAAACTCTAACCCTTAGTTTCAGTTCTGAATTAATTAACATCTTTTTCATTTATTTGGCAATCAAACACGTCATTGCCATATTTAGGTGCCACGCTTGGACTGTAACAATATAACAAATACTTAAGAAAGTGTTCTCGACATCACATTCCTCAAATTTCATCAGAAACACTCCACTGGACTTATTTTTTTTTTATTGTCTTATTTGAATTTGAAATTGCGATGAAGCACTTAATTTGCTTGTGTTTGATATATTATTTCTACATATATTCAACTCATATTTTGGTACACTATTCTTCTCCCTGGTGGAAACTCTTTCACAGAATATTTGAGGATCTTTCAATATCTTAAAGTCCTTAAAGATAACAATCTTTCAAGTATCCTTAAAAGGTCCTTAAGTCTTGCAAAGATCTTTGAGCAGAATCTTTGAAAATCCTTGAAGATTTTTCAGGATCTGGGGTTTGAAGATCCTGCCATAATTCTCAAGTTGCTTAACAATATTCAGTCTTGATTTTGTGTGATTTTTTTGGAACAGATGTCAAGTTCAACATTAAATGTGAATGTGAATGCTTTTAAAAAGTCATCTGCAAGTCATCATTCTGACTTTCTCTTTGCTATACTTCAATGAATGTCATTCAGTTTTAATTTCAAATCAAGGTTTGACTGTGACACAACAAAAAATAATTTAAACCAAACTACCATGTGCTTAGGAATATTATTCCCATTTTTATGCAGGTCACTTGAGCACCCCAACTGACTAGAAAAGTGCTTCTAATAAAAGTAACAATGAATACCTGTGCCCTGTCAAACACTTGCTCCATCTCAATTTCTTCAGGAAATGTAGCTAATTCTGTCTGGTAAAGGATAAAGCCATAACCCTGTCCACCATTATTGTTAATTGGCAATTGTTCCATCGGCATGACATGATCACGCTCAACAGGAATCTAATATAATAAAGCAAAAGGAAAGTGGATCAAATAGAGAGATAGAGGGTACAGTCATAAATATAAATAAACAGCCTGCATAATAAAAACCCTGAGACTCACAATCATACAACTGAATAAATTCTAAATCCAGTTTCTGTGCCTGTGATATCACTGTAGTTTTAAAATGCATGGAATAACTTACCAAGGCTTCTTAGCAGTACAAAGTATGATATTGCTTGCAAAAACCACACAACGTGTTTGAAATTCATATTATACAAACAAGACATGTTTCGGATGAAACATCATCAGTTTTACAAGAATACCAAGATAAATGAGCCATAAATAGTTTAACAGTGTGTGACGAAAATAAGACTTATTAAGGATTAAGGCATGAAACAAAAACGTGAAAATATAACACTAAAGTAACGGTCCAATTATTAGTATGAAAGGGATAAATTAAGATGTTTAACTTGTTAATATAATATGAATTTCAAACACATTGTGTGGTTTTTGAAAGCAATATCAAGGAAATAACAAATAAATACTAACAATAATTATGATCTCATTTCATCTTTTTCATTAGGGATTAAAAATTTTAATGGCTCAAATGCACTGTTACATTGCCTATCGGACAGTTATTATCATAACAACCCGGTAACTGGGGCCTTACAGTGGCAAATTATTGTTACAAGCCAATAATCATTTTCCACTTACATGATATTGAAGAAGTTCAGTTAATGACATTAGCTGCTGCATTTCAACTTTTCCTGTTGGGTGGCAATGTAAGAGGAAGAAAAACTTGCAGTACCACAGTTATATTTACAGTGCGGTATTTACGGGGAGGCTACTTTGTGTGATATGTTACAGTAAGCTAGTCATGATATTTTGTTTAATACTGTTCTGAACAAGTGCTTCATTTAATATTGAAAGAGAACTGGACCAGGAATTAACAGATGTTGCCCTGAATGAAATGATCAAACCAAAAATAAAACAAATCAAGCTACTCGTGAACACAATCAACAAGGCTGATCAAGTGCAAACTAGACTTAAATCATCTTTGTTAGTTGATAAAAGTGTGTTATGCCTCTACAGGTACAGACTTAGTGACATGTTTCTGCATAGCACTGAACAATCCCATGAACTAATGCGTGTAGGTCAGATGACTTGATGTGAGCCAGCCTAGCAAAGGTGTCCAGAGCTGTGCACCAATTATACAGCTGTTTTGACAAAGATTGTCCTATAAAAGAGTAGAAGCGTACGCGACAATGCTGATTAGTATTATGGGTAGTAATAGTTTGGTGTTACAGTTAAGGTTGACAGTGTTTTAGCAAGAGGGAAGGAGAAAACATGAATACAAGTGTTGAAAAACCGTCTCGAGCATTAAACAAGGAGTCATAAACCACCATCACTAATAATCCCTTTTGACCTTTTGTCACATACACTTTTATGCCTTGATAGGACAACCTTTCTTGAAACAACTGTATTTATAAGCATTAACCTACACCACTGAAAGTGAGTAAAAGAATGCCGTCTGTACCATAAGGTCCCTGCAGTGGCACAGCAGTACATTTGACTTTCCCTCACAAGCTGCCACTTACCATAATCCTTTTTTGGAGAATTTGGAACATGTGGAAGATTTTGGGGCACTGGTGAAAAAGATGTGAATATAGTATTCATTGAATACCAATATATATTCTGTTATATTCATAGCATTAAACATTTTTAAATTTTCATTACTTTTTTTTGAGGTCAGAGAATCCAATGATGACAATGCCAGTTTACAGCTTATAAATAAGTTTTCTAATTATATGCATACATGTTCACCGCATAATAAGAAATGTGTCTGTAACAGTAATTGAAGGAATCTGGTAATTAATTGATTTATTCTTTTAATTGTTAATTTATTCATTTAATTAGTTACTGGAGTTTTGTGAAGCAGATGGTTTAATCATCATGGCTTTAAGAGTGTGATATTTTGCTGTTGTGTCTCCAGCCTCTGACAAAGGTCCATCATAGTCTGTAAGTAAAAAAGGCACATTATTTAATACTAAATAATAATATCATAGATATTAATTATAACAAATAAATTATTCATATTAGATAATTATTAGTCTGCATGAATTTCTTACTGTATTAGTTGGAGATTAGTTGGAAATTAGTTGGCAATCTCTGTTCAGTTCTATTCTTTAATAATTCCAGCGCTAATGCTCAATAAATGCTAAAAAGCAAGAGATGCCTGTCAGTTTCTTTTAGACTGGCACTTTTAGCATGGTAAGGGAATGAGGAAATGTTTGTCAGATATGATATTAACAGCATGATTAGTTCTATTTTTTTACTTCACTGTACCATATGACGTTGTTACTGGTACAAGTCCATTTGCGCCATTCATAAAGCCAAAGTTTGTTCCTCCTAAAAATAAAATATTTGAGATATTGAGCATCAGTTATCAGTGATGACGATTTGCAATTTAAACATTTGGAAAGAAATGTGAGTATTAAAAGCATGATGTGTCAGAGGTTTATGGGGCTAAAATTTAGATTATAAAAAAGGTAACTTGAAGACAAAGCAGACAAATTTTATTGTACAATACTAGAATATTTAAACTTGAACAATTCACTCAAATTTCTTTTAAAAAAGAGTTAAAATTTTAAAATTAACTTACAGGGAATAAGTTCAATTCAAAAACACATATTTATGCAGTTTGTAACTGCATTGACCCAGACTTACGAGGTCAAAATGTTACATTTGTTTGAAATATTAATATTCATACTATATTACATGGGAATCACAGTTCTATTGTAGGGATATTCACTATTTACTTGGTTGCATATATTCATTTGTAACTGACATTCATTACCATGAAACATGTAGAGGTTAAAAGAGGCTCCAAACTTGAGAATTTCCTCCATGGTGTCAGCTACTGCTTTAACATCTTTGACACTATGTTGTCTACCCCATTGATCAAACCAGCCTAACCAGTATTCCATTACCATTACAGGTTTGTCAGGCTTCACAATTTAAACAAAGAAAGGAAATGATTAAACAGAGTTAACTTCATTTAGTATAAATCTACTAGCGTTCTATAACGAATGCTGTTCTCTGATTGGCTACGCTACTCACTATCTATCCTGAGATAGAGAGTAGCGAAGCAGTGTGCGCTTGTTAACAAAATGACAGTGTCTGTAAAGAGGATTTTGAACGACTAGTAGATTTGTACTAAAACAATTACATTATTCGCTCTTGATTGCTATGTGTTATAGTTGACGAGGGCTGCACCCTCGTCAACTATCACGCGATAGAAATCTTCAGCTCACGATCTAATTGTTTAGTAGCAGACTTTAGAGTATTCTGGAATCATGGAGATCATGAGGCAATTATTTGTGGGAGGAAATTTATATAAAAGGATAATGCTGCACAATGGACAAGTGTTCCATCCAGGGGGAGTAAAATACTTCTAGTTCCTTAATGCTACAGAAACATTGGCCTGATCCAGGCCTAACCTCCTTAATGGGAGCTGGAGAAGATTACTAGTAACTTACCATTTAATCAGTGAGAGATTTAACACTACATGAAACTATGCCTACTGTACCTGTGTTTCCTTTAACTCTGTCAGTCTTACTTTTGCATCTTTTTCAACTCCAAAGTTGATTGTTTTTAACACTGTAGTTTAAAAATATCAAAAATGTTAAACATGTTAATAAATAAGTTAATATTTTGTAGCACACCACACATTTTAATTTAATGTAAATTACATTTATTTAAAGTTGACAGTTACTTGTGATAATTAATACACTGTTTGTGGCCAGTCTTACGCAGCTCATTTTGTCCCGGGCAAGGGCCTCATCAGAGACCTTTCTGCTTGGCAAATTCGTTGGGCATTGTGCCCAAAGTCCCCTTCGCTAACAAAATGATGATAGTAATCTCGCCTTATAATGCATACAGATGCCCGACCACACAAATTCACGATGTAAAGTTGACAGTTACTTGTGATAATACATTGTTCATGGCTAGTCTTACGCAGCTTATTTAACAAATTTATAATATTAAATGTAACACACCATTTTGCAGTGAAGGAAGTTTGTTTTGCATTCCCCAATAATTATCTGATGTAAAAAGTAATTCTGTTATACCTCCATTGATCATTACCTACATGTATATAAACACAAAAATGAGTAACACAGAGTTCTACTAATGCTATAGAACATTACAACCAAATGGGACATTAGGCATAGTCACCCATGTTATTAACTAAAGATACAAAATGTGCTACAAAATGTATTTGGAATTTCTTATTTGCCATGTATCAGGTCATATAAATCCTCTGCAGCCACTTTAAATGATTATACTTATCTTACATGTAGTTCATGTGCAGTTCGTAAATAATAAGGCACAAGAATGTTGTCTTAAAATTGTTGTTGCTGCCTGGAGAGGGGTGACTTTACAAACTTTTATATGGCAAGGCTCTGCCCTGAGGTCCAACCCCTTTCCCTTTTGTATACCAATTTAACAGAAAAGGTACCCCTTTCGTATATGTACCTTTTGTTGAAAAACAAGTACCCCTTTCACATACCTACTTACGTGTAAGAACATTGCATCTCTATTCTAAACCTCTGAAATGACTTAAATTATGTAGAGCTTAATAAATTATTACAGTATGATACTACAGTATCATTCTGTATTAAAGGCATCTGTTAGAAATATTTTAATTAAAATCTCTTTTAAGTACCTAAATGAGAGATTTCCCTACCCTTTCATATAGCTCAACTTGTAAAATCCTTACCCTTTAATATACCTGAAGCCTGAAAAAAGTACCAGTTTCGGGTGGAGGCTCCGCATATAGGCCATTATAGGGAGTATGCCCATCCCCCAGGAGTTGCTATAATTATAGTTGCCCTAAGAACTCAAGGCCTTTTGAATTTGGGTAGCAGAGGTATTTGTAGGAGTCCTGTACTGTACAATATACATATACATTCTGGCAGGAAGTTTAATTTATTAGATTCAATAACTTGTATTAAGTAACATTACACTAACAGCCAGATTGCTGGCCCATGCGAATATAATTTAATGATTTAACAATTTGTTATGAAATGCAAAGACTTAGATTTCCAGGTACCGGTACTAACCATTTTGAGGTGCTTTAGATATACGACATCTGCACCTGGATAGCTGCCATACTCATTCTCTATCTGAAATGCTATTATTGGACCACCCTTGGAATACTAGTGCAGGTAAACAAAATAAAAAACGTCAACTTAACAGGTTTGTACTTTGACAAGCTCCCCTTGTCTCTTAGCTAGTCTGACACGTAAAAAACAATCTCACAGTTTCATCCAATTTAATCATGTTGGTCTGTTTTAAGTCCAACATGACTTGTATCTATTGTTAGTATATAGAGGATATTTTTTACTTGAGTGGCAAGAACAATATCTCACGAGAACAATATCTCACGAGAACAATATCTCATGAGTTGAGCTGCGCTCACTCGTGAGATATTGTTATTGCCACAAGAACATAAAATTCATATCTTTGAGGCAACGTGTAATGTTCTTTTTATTATACAGACATACAGATGACAGTGTTTTTGATGATTTTCTGAAGATTTCCAATCACTTTCTAAAGATTCTCCTAAACTTGTCCGAAGGTCACACCAACGTTGTCAAAGATTGCCAAAGACTTTCGAGGAAGACCCAAAGATGTTTCAATGTACCAATGAATTGAAGAAGAATTTTAGAGACAAACTTGATATCAGTGAAATCATCATCATCGGGTGGAGGCTCCGCATATAGGCCATTATAGGGAGTATGCCCCTCCCCCAGGAGTTGCTATAATTATAGTTGCCCTAAGAACTCAAGGCCTTTTGAATTTGGGTAGCAGAGGTATTTGTAGGAGTCCTGTACTGTACAATATACATATACATTCTGGCTGGAAGTTTAATTTATTAGATTTAATAACTTGTCTTAAGTAACATTACACTAACAGCCAGATTGCTGAAGAAGAATTTTAGAGACAAACTTGATATCAGTGAAATCATCGATATCTTCACTAGTGAGGATATGGAAAACAAGCCACTCATGTCCTGGATGTGGTTTCGTATGCATTTTACAAGTGGTGTATTTTCCAGTAAAATACTCGTGTCTATATAATAAACATTCATATGCTTCTATTTTTGGGTTGGGGATGATTTGCTTTGATTGAGTGTCTCCTTCCAACCTGAAGATAGTTTTCATTTTATAAAATCTACTTTTAATTTTTAATTTATTTAGACTACATTGTCTTCCCATCTTCTGTCTGCCAGGAATTTGAACAATGTATAGAGAAGGATAATAACGGAGTCATTTAAAAATAAAAGATCAAAAGATTTGTACATTACCTGTAAAGGAGTAACAATTGGTAAAAGTGCCTTTAAATACTGATCACCAGCCTGGACGAATGGAGGATACATCGATCTTGGTTTCATGTGAGGATCACTTAACAGCCAGCTTTGAACAGTAAGATAAGAAGTAAGTCAGATAACACAGGGATATAAGTGTACATGAATGTTGGACCTTCCTTGACTTCACCCCCAACCTCTCCCTCTCTCTCTCTCTCCCTCTCCCTTTGCACATTTAATTTGAACAGTAAAGATAACACAGAGATATAAGTGTACATGAATCTTGGACCAAGTTTGAGTGGGAAATAAAGAGGTCTTATGGTTAGTGTGTTGGACTCCAGACCGAATGGTCCAGATTCGAGTCCTGGTAGGGTCATTGTGCTATCTCCTTGGATAAGACACTTAATACAGTAGTTTGTCTCTCCACCCAGGTGTTTAAATGGGTGAATTTAATGCTCTGGATAATCCCTGTGATGGACTAACTAGCATCACATTCAGGGAGGAGTAGAAATAATCCTAATTGCTGAACCAGAGACAAGAGCAAGCCAGATGGGCCAATAAGGTTTCACTGCAGACTTTACCTTATCACAGAGTTTGAATGTGTCTGTTGTGCTTCATGTACAAGTCAAACAATGCAATGCATTCTTATATAGGGTACATAATGGGTAACAGGTAAACAGTAACAGGCAAACAGTTAAGGGTTTACAAAGGGTAATCTCTTAATAAATATTTGTACTGTGCTTCCATTGCCATTATTGAGAGATACCTGTATACAAGACAACTAGAGTGTTCTTCTGGCCTTGGCCAACCATGCCAGTGAGCCTAAATAGAAGTATGTACTTTAAAAACAATTAACCGGCTACTAACCTACTGTTCAGCTGTTACCTGTAAAAAGTACACGTAAATGTTACTCCACTACCACATAATTATCTATTCTAAATTTTTCCTTACCTTGGCAGTCCGCCAAAATCCCATTCAGAACAAATGTAGGGTCCAGGTCGTAAAATAACATACAGACCCAAATCTTGTGCTAACTTGATAAAAGCCCTTTAAAACAAAACACACAAGAGAACAGCAGATTTAGCTGATAATTTCCCAAATAATGTAAGCTTCTCTTGATGCTAATAGACTAAAAAAATTTGAAACAGTAGAAAAATGCAAACGAAATACTTCTTTCAAAAACCATAAACACTACAGGGGAGTCCAAAACATGACAGAAATGGAAGTTTATTAGTGCTGCACAAACCATATGCATATTACTGAGATGTGAACGAGACTGATAGAAGTAAATTTGTGGGTCACATGTAGCTTGAGTGAGCATAAAGATACTTCATGTACAGTTACTATATGACTGAGATAAAGATCTGTTTACAAGGTATATCGGAGATCTCCCTGTCAAAGATTAAGAAAGGTAAGAATCAGAGAAAACACTATGACCAAGTCACTCCAAAGCCGTACTTCATGCGTGCAATTAAGGTATCTAGGAAAAACTATTCATTTGGTAAAAGGACAAGAAATCTTACAGCACCAAAGGATAGCCAGAGAATAACAGAGAATTTAAATAGTGTATCTCAGACTCTACAGATTATGGCTATACCGACCAGATGGTCATTAGTCTATTATAAAATATCTGTACTTATTCTGCCACAAATAAGAAGACAATTTTGTGGTCCATTTTGAACTCTGGACTGCTATAGACTTTTAGTTCACTAATACCTCTTACTTTATGTCCAAGTTTCCATCAAACTTGAATTCACCCTTTACCTCCTCATGTAAGTTCCATGCTACATACCTGTATTGATGCAAGATTAGAAAGTCAGCCCTGTTGAAACTACAAAATAACAACCCATCTTATAACGCAAACTAGCTAGAGTGTAGCTGCTCAACTTCTGTCATAAGGAATCAGTTATTGCATTACTGTTACTGGCAACTTGATAATGTGTAGTTCCAGAAAATATCCATGCCTCCTCCAATTTCAGTAGCTTTTTAAGGATCCCCCGCCCCCTCTCGAAATTTCAATTAAACTTCACACATTAATTTCTTTGAATTTTTTGGTCTTACCAAACCCCTCCACCCCTAGGAAATTCCAATCCCCTCTATGGGAGAGTATATGGATATTTTTAGGAACAGTAGAATCCTGATTTCTCAAACACTCAATTTTTTGCGATGCTTGATTAGTCAAAGGAAATTTTTTTTTTCCTCAGCAAAACTGTTGGGAGAAATTTCCACTTTATTTTGCAGACCTCCCTATTTCTTGAAGCAACTCCCATTCCCTGTGTTTGAAAAATTGGAAATCCATTGCATCAACAAGTTTGAAATCAAATGCATATAAAGCTCAAGGAAATCTTCGCCTATATCACTGAATATAAACATATGTTTATAATTTAAGTTGCTGTCTCCCCTTGTCTCTTAGCCAGCTAGATGATTGCTGTCATATTAATGATTAGGGGTTTGAGATCAAAAGTTACTATAACCCCCGGGACTCAGCAAAGAGAGTATCCATACTCAACAAAGTTAACTTAAACTAACTAAAAACTAATTTGAGTTGACAACAATTAAGTTAAAAAGTTTTCAATGAGGTGCACTTTAGGTATTTAACAACGTCGTCACAGAATCTAGTATATTTTTGCTTTACAAGAAAATTAAAAGACGTAAATAAACAACTACTGTGTACAATAAACAGGTTATAAATTAATTTCACACAGTTAAATCTTGAACTAAACCCTACATACAGGTGAGGTGTTCAAAGTAATTAATACTTAACTTCAACAGATTCAATTTAAGTAAACGAAAATTTTACTCACGTTTCAACGGTATTTAATCCCATGGCTTTGAGTTTTAGCAATCTATCTTTCCAATACTCTGGAACAACTCTAAAGTAATGTATTGCCCCACTGAGGATTTGAAAGGGCTTTCCATCAAGGAAAAATTCCTTCTCTCCTAAAGTTAAACCACCTCTAGATATTCTCTCCTTGCTATTGTCTTTTAAGTTTGAAAAATCGCCACCGTTAGGTTTTCTTTCAAGGAGCACATAACCGATGAAACATACGATAGCGATTGTCAGCAGTAACAGTTGTTGTTTGCTGATCTGTGGTAAGCGAAAGGTGAAAATTCGCATCTTTGTCGACTCAGCTCACCAAACTTTACAGAAGTATTATTCTTCAGTTCGCCTGGTCCTAACAGCGTGCTCCCTGCAGGCTGCTGGCACCCGGGTAAAATAAGAAGTCGATATTACTTCGGCGATTACTAAGCCCGATCAGACTGATAGCTTTATGTAAAGAAATGTTTCTGGTTTGCCAACAGGTACTTTTTTGGGAACTGGGGACTAACAATGCCATCTCAAGCAGGGTAGGGTGGGGTTAAACTGGCACCGTTATAAACGGGTCCATTTCTCCAAAGTCCCGGGAACTTTTTCGGGCCCGCAAAGCCATTTTTGGTTAATCTGTATCTAAAAATAGAGAGGTGTATACACCTGAAACTTCTTGTGTGAAGGAAACCTCTGTTGATATTACAAATATGTGAATAAAACAGCTTTGTAATCATAACGCTTGACATTTTGCCACGGCTTCCCGGGTGCGAAAACTTCCGGGGACCTTCGAGAAACAGGCCCCAGCTAGTCCGCAATACTCCCGTCCCCACACGGCTGCTCATACACCAGGCGTAGTCAATCGATAAACATCTATATCGGGAATCAATTGATTCAATCGATATCAATCACCGATAGCCTGCGAGTAGGCTCTCGTCATTGGTGGCACGAACAAGGCTCGCTCACTCGCTGACTGACTGATCTCTCGCAAGAGCCTGCTCGGAGGCTAAATCGCCGATTGCTATCGATTGATATCGGCAATCGATAACAATCGAACCCACAGAACAATCCGCTTATCGATTGCTATCGATTTGCAAAAAGCATACAAAAAGATTGTTTTTTTCAAGTCTGGTTTTGAAGCTAACGAGCTGGTTACAACGTTTACAAGCTGGTCTTCAAGTTAAGGGGTCAGTTTCTCCTATTTATTATTATTATTATTATTATTATTATTATTATTATTATTATTATTATTATTATTATTATTATATTTCTTTCATCCAAAGGGAACACGGTAGATTTTGAAAAAAAAAAATGTCCATGTGTGCAATTCATGCCCACAACCACTTCTGAAGAAAAATTCACGCACATTTAGCTAGCCAGAAAAAAGCATGTTACACTGAGAGAAAATTCCATGCACGCACATGTCCCGAGA